TTTTTTTTTTTTTTTTTTTTTTTTTTTTTTTTTTTTTTTTTTTTTTTTTTTTTTTTTTTTTTTTTTTTTTTTTTTTTTTTTTTTTTTTTTTTTTTTCTGTCATGCTTGTTGGCAAAAGTCAAGTATGCAAATGAAAAGTCATACCAATCCAAAGATTGCTCCTGATGCACCAACCGAGGGTGCCTTGCAGAACCAATAACTCATGGATGAACCTGATTTTCTTGAAATGATCGAGTCAAAAAGGTATTCAATAATATCATGGCTATTTTATTGAGATTACGAGTTGTACTTGCAATTGCCGAGGCAAAGTACACTGCAAGAAATCTCCGAGTGCCAGAGATTTTCTCCACTGCAGGACCAATAGAATTTAAAGAATAACAATTAACCTGCAACAAAAACTTTCAAGTGTTGATTTCCAGTAATTAAAGAAGACAAAAATAATGCAACAGATGCCACAAAGTATTAGAACCATATACCATCAAATGCCCAATATTCGCATGCAAAAAAGAAGACGTGACCAACCTCCATAACTGTCCTTGATCTATTAGAGCATTTATCTGCAAATTATAAGTGAATCATGCAGTAAACGTCTGACAAACACAGTCACAAAATTATATGCCAAACATGATATCTGCAGAAACTGAGTATCACCTTGGATCCCCATAGGAGTAACTTTCCTTCTGATGCAACTTGAGCCAGAAAAGCTCTGCAGAAAAAACACACCACATGTTTAACAGATAAGATAAACAGGAATCAGAAGAATAAAAGAAAAGCTATACATCAGAGGACATGATCGTAGGAGCTGTATCAAAGAGAAAATGGCTAACTAACTGTAAAACTCACAAAATATTAACACCAAGAAGAATATTGGTCCATCTTCGATCGTTTTGTGGATTTCTATTTGATGTTTTCCAGTGAGATGTCCCCTCATTTTTTAAGCTACTCCCAGTATGCCCGCCACCAAAGAAATATAAACAAGCAGCATGAGTGGATGATAAGATATCCTTAGATACTTCAAGAAAATTTAATCCTGGAAAATGGAGAACTCTTGAACACCATGCACTCTTCAATTTAGAAGAGACTTCAACAAGAGGAGCAAGTTTCTGCCGGAAAAGAAATAGAGCATGACAATAAAATATTACTAATCACAAAGTAGTATTATGCTTCAACCAGTATAAAAAATGGAGTTAAGAAGTACAGAACCAAGATTCATCAATTAAAAAATAAAAGAAACTGAAGAAAATGTGTTAAGATCATTACAGAAACTATTTAAAATAGCCAATACACATTGAATAGCTTTGTAGAAACATTTTAATCCAAGTATAACCAAATAAGGCCTTTGTATGCACAAAAATATTTATTTGAAGGAAAGCTATGTTGACCAAAAATTAAGATTACACTGTGTAATACAGAGCAATATAAGAAATTAAATATATTAAAATGAGATGCTTTTCATAGATATATAAAGAAATTTTAAATGTACGGTTTATTAGGGGTTTACCAGACAAAAGAAAAGCCATTAGAGTTAATTACAAAGGAAGAATATGTGAGAGTACTAGTAAGGGATATTGGTAATATTAATAGGATAGTAGTAAGGGCAGGGCATATGGGTAATTAGCTAGTGTTGACTTGGTTATAAATAAGGAGAGTTAGGGACCTTAAAGAGGGGATTTTTTTGGTGCGAGAGTCCATTGTGGGATTTGGGAGAGAGATAGACCCCTTGAAAGGTTATTGATATTGTAATTCTTTATTATATTCCAATATAGTAATCTTCATCGTTTTGATATATTTTTTGTGCTTGGATACCTAACAAATTGGTATTGGCATTCATCCGGGGGAGATTGGAAAAAAATGGCTCAAAAAAATTAAAAGAGAGGATGGATGGTATCGGAAGAGACATTGATGAGCTCAAAGGTATGTTGCATTCCTGAATCTAAGTATCGAGGGATTGATGGCGGGAATTCATGAGAACCGACAATCAGGGGAAGAAAAACAAAAAACCCATGTGGCAACAGTCAAATCCGAAATTTCCAAAGGTAAGTTTGAGATCACATCCTCCTCTGCGAATGGTTCTTCACAAAAATTGAAGGGCAAGGGGGGAGAAGGGGAAGTGAGTGGTCTGAAAAGCTCCAATGAATGCAAGTCTCAATAGAAGAAGGAAGAGAGTGAGGGGAAACGTTGAAAAAATGTCAACTAGAATTGATTTGAATCGACGATTAGCAACAACCATGAACTGAAGATTTCAAGCATTTGCAGGTTGGGACGAAAGGTGGTTGGACAGCAGAGAGCATACTAGAGGACATCAATTGAGTTGCGAGGGAAAACTGATTGTATATGTCTAGAGGTATTTAGGTATAAGGAATTCATTGGCACGTGCAAGAACTATCAACATACCTATTAAACTCCAATCTAGCTGTACATGCCATAATTACTCGTTTGCAGGTCAATCACAACCATCCCAAAGGTATTATAAGCTAACATGCTTCTGTTAGCAGCCATTCATCCCAAGTTCCATTTTTAGGCTATAGAAAACCTATGTATTTATCTCACCTTCCTAAGCTGCTTTGAGTATTGAAGTTTTTCTCTCCAAATTGTTTCCTCTTTGAAGATAATGTATTGAAGAAGGCACTTACAGTTACGAGAACTTTTATGATTCCTCAAATCATTAAGAGAGCAATGTCTTCAAAGTCATCTAATATCTTCAACTCCACAAGAGTATCCTACTTTTCTTAGAAATAAAAACAAACAAATAAATCAATTACCATTTTTCTGTTCAACTCCTTAAGATAAACTTTCAAGAGCTCTAATTTTGCCATAAAATCATGTCCCGGTTAGCCTTGAAGTTGATGATATCCTGAAAAAGATTCCAAGGCAAGTGGAAAGGTGAGATCCCACATCAGTTGGAGAGGGGAACGAACCATTCTTTATAAGGGTATAGAAACATCTCCCTACCAGATTCATTTTCTGGTATTTTAAAACCTGGAGGAAAAGCCCAAAGAGAACAATATCTACTAGCGGTAGACTTGGGCTATTACAAATGGTATTAGGTCAGACATCGTAGGTTGTGCCAGCGAAGACGCTGGTTCCCCAAGGGGGGTAGATTGTGAGATCCCACATCGGTTAGAGAAGGAAACGAAGCATTCCTTATAAGAGTGTGGAAACCTCTCCCTACCAGACGTATTTTAAAACCTTGAGGGGAAGTCCAAAAGGGAAAGCCCGAAAAGGATAATATCTATTAGCGGTGGGCTTGGGTTGTGTGCCCTTGTTCCACATAATTTCAAATTTAAATGGTAGAGGCACCCATGTGAGGACTAATACATAAAATCATAGATCCTCCTAGGGTAAAAAAGCATAATACGTTTTTCATTTTTTAAATACCAGACTACGGAAAAAGAACTATAATACTTTACCTACAAGCAAAACCCAAACTGTTCAAAATCAAGAAAAGTAAACATCAATAAAACTGAAGTTATTAAAGCTCGTGGAGATGTATTAAACTATATAAGGCTCACCTCCATAGCATTACTATAACTAATATCTATCTTCAACACTTCTCATGCCGTATTACAACAACAAAACACACAAACTAGTGGCTAGATTGCCAACCTTCCACAAAATTCTGGATTACTAAATAGACATTCCCCAAACATCCTAGTCAACAGTCCTTGCAATTGCACCCAATGTTTTAAAATGCTATTGAGGCTAAGCATTTAGGCACACCTCGAGGCAACACTCAAACTTTTAACCTTGTTACTTGAACCTCCTTTGAACCATAAGAGGCTTACGCCTCTATGAAAATCCATTGAACCTTGAAGTCTTATGACTCGTGCAATGATGAGAAGAATAATATTAATTTGCCTCTGTAACAACCCAAGCCCAACACTAGCAGATATTGTCCAATTCGGGTTTTCCTTTTCAAGGTTCCCCTCAAGGTTTTAAAATGCGTCTACTAGAGAGAGGTTTCCACACCCTTGTAAGGAATTCTTTGTTCCCCTCTCCAACCGATGTGGGATCTTACAATCCACCCCCCTTGGGGACCCAACATCCTTACTAGCACACACCCGGTGTCTGGCTCTTATACCATTTGTAACCGCCCGAGTCCACCACTAGATATTGTGTTCTTTGGACTTTCCCTTTCGAGCTTCCCCTCAAGGTTTTAAAATGCGTCTACTAGGGAGAGATTTCCACAACCTTGTATGAATGCTCCGTTCTCCTCTTTTTGTTCCCTCCTCCAATTGATGTAAGATCTCACTGCCTCATTCTTCAAAGATATGAAGGTTTGAGCCATGAGAGTTTGAATTATTACTACTTTCCTATTGTAACATTAAAAGCATTGAAAAAAAAAAGTTATGGGACAACATAATGACAATAGTAGTGATGTTAAAGATGTCAGATTTTTTTTTAAGTGGCAATTGTCGGGGGTAATTTTTTATACTTTTATTTGACTGTTATGTTTTAAATACTCAGGTCATACCAAGTGAGTTTTTTTAAAATATTTTTAATCAAATTCGAGGCTTAAGGTTTAAACTGCTTCAAGGCTTATACCTAACTTCTTCAGGAGGAAAAGCCTGAAGGTTGCCTCTAGCCTTTTAAACATTGATTACACCGTAAACTGTAAATAGGTCCTCCAATATCTCTCATCACCCCAACTTTACTATGAAACACGTGGATCACTTGCTTATGCACTCCCCTTCAGCTTACACCAGATGAAATTTTCTATCCAAGATTCCACCCTTTCTTGGCTTGCCCATGACATTCTTGGTATCTTTCATAAGGTTCTAAGTGTTCTCAAAGGGAGGCAAAAACTAAGATCATTCAGTGGAACGCTTTTAAGGCCCTTAGTTTACTTCGAACCAACGTATAGAACAACAATTGAATGCCTGGAGATGGCTCATAGGGGGGTTAAAAGATCACAACTAATACAAACTTTTGTGTTCTATCAAAATAATAATAAGAAGAACAATTGCAGCAAATGATCCTCCAAACTTTTACATGGCATTAATCCTCCAAACTTTTTATCCACATTCATGTAAACCACTGGCTTATGGAACACAGCTAGCCACAAGCAAGGTCAACATATAGAGAGAAACAAAATCCGAGAAATTTGCATCATCCACGAAACAGATTTCAAAGTATGCCGATAAGATCGCCTCTCTCAACAGTTAACAGTATAACAGTTCAAACCATACAAAATTCGAATCCCGAAACGATTGCACAAATAAATGGCAGAAGATCAAAATTCGAATCATCACAATTGAGCTATTGGATATAGAAGCTGAAAATTAAAAAGTAGAGAGAAAAGAGAGAGAACCTTATCGAACGAATGGAGAGCGAAGGTGAGGGTAATGTGATGAATAATACGGCGGCGGAGAGAGTGGGTGAGACGGAGAGAAGTGGCAGTCGCGAAGAGATCAAGAGGGCCGGCCGTGGGTTCAAGGAACAAAGGGAAGCCCAACGGTCCGGCACCGGAACTTCCCACCATTCTTCACGGTGCTGCTAACTACTACGTGTCAGGTTGTCTGTATCTGTACCAAATTGATATAATGGGAAGAAGTAAACTTGTAATTTAAAGACAATAGGATTCTCATTCCATATGAACTTATTTTAAAATTTTGAATAATTATTATTTTACATTATATTTAAATTTACCCAAAATAAATTGATTATTATATTATTAACTTTTTTTAATATAATTATGCAATTTTTGAAATTTAACGACACTCCTTAGGTTTAACCCTGCACACAAAGAGTTGTTCTAGCAATCAATTCATCCTTTTGGCTAGCAAATGTATGTTTGGTAATCATTTGTGTGCATCAAGGTGTTTCTTGGCTCGTTAGTCTTCTCTTTCATGGCATTATCTATATTGTACAGTGTCATGAGTCTCGACGAGGTAGTCGTTGGCGTCGTGCTCGTCGTGAGGTAACTCAACAGTCTTTTCTTTGCAGGAAGAGAAAACGACGAAAAGTGCAATATTATTTTTCCCTCTATATCATATTAGAATTCTGTGAGGTACGGTTGGCGTGTTCTTTGTGTAATTACGATAATAAGAGTGACAATGTAACGACCCATATCCGCTAGCCCACAGCTAGCTAGCAGATATTATCTTCCCCTCAAGGCTTTAAAACACGTCTTCTAAGAGCTTCCACACCCTTATAAATGGTGTTTTGTTCTCCTCCTCCCCAACAATGTGAGACATCAGACCATGTTAGAAATTTTCTAAAAAATAATTTGGGGTCATAGAATAAATGAATATATTATTTAATAACGTGTCAAAATGTGGGTAGAAATCGCACATGACACTACTTTTGACGTGTCCGAGTTGTGTTAATCCAATCTTTGTCGCCCTATTTCTCTTTTAATATTTAAACGTGTTATATTTTAATAAATATATTATTATAATCTACCAGTAATATCCCAAAGTTAAAAAATTGAGAAACATAAAATTTTAATTTTTGAAAATTTGAAGAATGTTAGCGAACAATAGGCAAAAGAGAAAACCCCATGCATATAACATCGGTTTTGTGTCTCGATTACTTAAATATATGACGTGAATCAAAGTCGTGAATCTCGAGATGAGTTCGTGTACTCCATCTTGGGATTGCGACATAAGCTTAGTGTAGGAGATAAAAATATGGTAAGATTATTCTCTTTTAAAATTAGAAAGATACTCAATAATTTAAATAAAGAAAAAAAATAGTTTGAGTTTAGTTACAGCCAAAAGCAAACGTTATCCAAAATAGGACTCAAACCAAAAAGATATATGACTAGCCAAAGGTCTCGAACCTAGGTTGTCCCTCTATGACTCCTGCTCCAAGACTACATTTGACCTCGACTTACATCTAGTCGTTACCTCAAAAACATACAAAATTAGAATGAGTATAAAATACTTAGTAAACAGTATGCTTGTAGGCTATGAATCGTGTCCATGGCAAAGGCTAGGTACCACGCTCTAAACTTCACCATAAATTATATTCTAAGGATCTTGGTCTTGAGGTTCTAATTTCCAAGTTCTAAGTTTTTTGTCGGTCTATTGTTGGACCCATTCATTTAAGAAGAGTGGATTCCAACGGGCTGTCCACTTCCACTTCACACAACTTTAGTTCTATTCGTAAACACTCCCAGGAAGACCTATAAGGTCACATAATCGGTAAATAACATGAACCTAAGAAGTCTTATTGTAACGATCCAAAATTTTCTACTTAATTTAAGGTCACAACTGTATACATATCATAAACATTCTAAAACATAACCTTTATCTTAAAACACAGGCATAGACTTATGTGTTTCGAAAACATCTTTAAAACGACACAACAAAAGACTAAATAAAACGAATAAGAGTTTAAGTTAAAAACATCCTATTCTAGCCTAAGTCTAAGAAAATAAATACCACTATCCTATGCATATGTCATGGTCTCGAGTTGCGATGCCGTCGTCAGCCGGAATGTCTTGCCTTAACCTAAAAAAATGTAGTAGCACATGACTTGAGTATTTAAAGAAATACTCAGTAAGTGACACCACTATTGGGCTTAAATGCAACAATCACATGCAATGAGATGATGGGACCTATCTTTCATTCCGTTTTCTCTACGGTGCTGTCCTAATTTTGGACGTATACCATATACTCTACACATAGCTCATACGTGCGAGTATGAGCTCACCAGCTAGTTCGCACACCGCTGGGCCACTTTCCTTATCCGGTGAGCATACTCTGGGAGCCACTTAGGCCAGACACCCGCTAGAACTAGTAACCGTCACGGCAACATTATGCAAAGCATAACGATCGTTGTCCTGCCATTGGATGTACGCATCCGTACCCTCGTGATGGGATAGGGGTATCCCCCAAATGCATGAGCACACATAATGCATGAGGTCACAAAACTTTTCAATTTTCATTATTATTTAATACAACCCCGCTAGCATTATATACGTATCATATCATTTTTCATATCGTTTCAGATATCGTTCATCATTCATGTCATATTGTTTCTCATTCTTCAGTTCTCAAATCATACATAATTCTAACGGGGTTATATTTCATGTCATTTATCGTAATTTCATGTCATTCATATCATGTTGTATACACACAATTTAAGAGAACTAACATAACGTTCTATGTTTTTAACATAACATTTCATCATATACATATCATACCATGACATATTGCATCACAATGTATCATATCATAAACAAGTCATAACGTAAACACTTTGTAGTCATATCGTTCTCTAACTTATCATAGCTTAATGTTCTTATACCTATCACAGACATATCATTACGTGAACGTACCTTAGTCATATCATCACAAGAACGTATTCTAACGCTATCGTTCTATCAATTCTAACGCTATCGCTCTATCAATCTATCACAAACCTATCCCTTTCTACCCGTAACCTAACCGTATTCTTCCATCAATCTTTCTTGTCTATATCACTCCAGCATGTAACCTAACCTTAACGTTTCATAAATGTATTTAAATCCTATCGTTACATTTCGTTTTGTGCATCCTTCTCGTATCCTATCTCAAACATGTCCTTGCACACATCGTACCATAATTATTATCATACAATTCACATATTATAACATATACATAACACATAGGAAGCATATCGATCCACAGACAATTCACACATATCAATATATATGACACGTGCAGAACCACAGGGCACGTGTTAACATCAAATATAACCATGCCGATAGTAAGGTCACTTACCTAGTTAGCTTAAGTCGTTGTCACGTATATATCCTTAATGAAAGTTCGATTCCGTCCTTTGAAATCCAAGTCAACCTATATGAGCTCATGACATCAGTTTCAAGTTTGAACTCTATAAAATTATTTCTAGTTAAAATTCTGATATTTCCGGTTTGACAAAATTTAATAGAGTTCCATGCATATTTTTGTGTTTTATTTCTTTATTTTGTTCAACAAATCTTCACTCAATCTTCCCTCCTCCCTCTTTGTAATTATTAATAGATTTTCAGTTCTATAAACATTTTCAATTATGTAAATAAGATATTACTATAACCCTATTTATTTTCATTTTGTAAACAGATATTATTGGCCAATTTTAATCTATTGGTACTACAAAATTTATGAATCTACTAACTAAAATTTTATTGATTCTAAATCTAATTAATTGAATATGAGATAATTAATAACAATAACTATAAAGGAAAAAGGAAATATGAGATAGCATTTTACAGTAAGACCAAAATCTCTGTAGGTAAATCTTCATCATATCTGGTCTGTTGAAAGGCCATTTTACTTTTTCTCAAATCTGACATTTTTTTCTGTTTATTTTTTGTAGGGTGATACTGTGGAGTTGAGGAAAGAGGATGGGGTTGGGATGAGAGGTTAGTGGAGAGAGGTGGGAAAATTTTATTTTTATTTTTAAGTAATCCCTTTTATTATTTATTTATGAATTATTATTATTATTATTATTATTTTGATGTATATATATATATTTTTATAATTATTCTTATTTGTTTATTTATTTTTATTATTATTATTTTTGGCTATTACACTTATGCTCAGAATTTGGAGCTGCATTCGGAATCCAGATTATGTCGTAATGACTCCGACATTCCCTTGTGTCTTTACTAACATAATTTGAGTATGCTTCCCACTTAGATGAGGAAAAAGTCTATATTCATGATGTACCATGCAATGAGAGGTTTAGGGTGTCTAAAGGCATAAGACATATACATATAGAGTGGTACCTAGCTGTCTGGGTATTGTAATAAGCTTAGAGCATTAGTTGTACATTTCTGGAAAAGTAGCTTACTTGGCATGGCTAAACCCTAGAACATAAACAAGTGGCACGTAAAGTTTCATGACAATCTGAGTTTGTTAAGATAACATAGTTAATATAGTAGGGGTATTTTTGTCATTTTATCTCTGTTGACGGTTTATTACTTAAACATGCTTCTATAAATATTAAACTATGCATACATTCATATTTCATGATATTAGGCTAAGGTGTAAAATTTCGGATGTCGTTTGGGGTTAAAATTCAGAATCTACTCGATTTTAGGTCTTCTTAGAGGTTTATCGAATATAACGTCAAATTAAGCCCCTTCTCATGTGATTCGTTGCCTAATCATTCCATAATCGTAACTTAAGAAAGGCCTGAACTTTCACTTTTCATGAAGGAAATTTTTTAAAAAAATGTCCGATCTACGAATAAACTTTCTTTTTTATTGTTATTCTAAACTCTATTAGTATTCTCTTTTCTTAAAAAGAAATCGTTGGTAAATTAATAGATGAATTTATTTCTAAATATTAAAGTAAAATATTTGCAAAAGAAGCTAAGAAAATGACTTTTAGATCTTTGAATTGTACGACAAATTTTTTATTCACATTCATATGAATTATTTGAAATGAGTTGGTATGTGTTATGAATAGAGATTCAAGGACAAATGTAACTTCATCCTAAATATTTTATATTAACAAAATTTTTATCAAATATTGATGTAGAACTTTAAAAATGATAATGTATCATTCTATAAGAAGTTGAAGAAAGAGTGTCCTAAGAAACCCCAAATGT